CGACTTTCGGGCTGATTTTGTGGATGCCCTCCTCCCATAGATGAATGCGGAGAAAAATAGAAAATCAGGGTTTTCGCGGGACGAGGCTAACGGAGACTTTTTTTTCTGTGCTCTTTGTTTGGACGTGAACGAAGCCTGCTCCCCTAACATTTGTAAGGGTGGCGGTGAACAGTGGCTGGCAGTGGTGGGGCGGTGACGGAGTCAGAAGCTGCAAAAGCAAAAATGATCACCTTCAGCCGGAGGAACCTTCGTCTTCGGCTCCTTTTCTTTCCGTACTGATTGGACCTCGTATTCCGCGCACAGTCCGACGATACGATTGCTACTGGGATGTATCCGCTGCTCCCGTGTGCTCATTGAGAAAGCTGCAATCGCTCCGAATGGTCGATATCTAATGCCTTGTCTTACTGCTCCATTTCCGCCGATGATCCTCTGGAATGTTTCTCAAAAATTGAACGCTGAAAACCGATGTCGAGTGAGAATTACCGTAGCAGATTAACGGTGGGGCAAGTCGTTGTCCAGCTCGGATCGCTCCGATCATATCCGGTCTGTCGACGAGAGGTACCATTAGTTGTTTGCCTTTTTTTCGGCGGCGAGTCATGTCGATCGATCGTTGTCGGAAGGCTTCGTTTACCGATCGCAAACGAGATGAGCTGCTCTGCCTATCCGGTGAACATCTATCATTCGGAAAATCTGCAGGCGTGAATTTCCGCCGGAGCTGGGAATCGTGCTGGGAAAAAAACATCGAGGAAAAATCTAATGCGAGTCTTCGAGAACTATTCTCACCCTGCGGTCCGTCGCGTCGCAAAACAACAGCAGACCGACGGGTGTCGCGGCCATTGCACGGTCTGACCGAGCGGCTCTATGATCCCGGTGGCTCCCGGAGCGTTCTTCTCTCGGAAACTTGTATTAATTGACTCGTTCTGAGCTCATATTCCTGCGAATGTCGTCCAAAGCAGGAGCATTTTCCCACTGAAGGTCTTCGCTCCGATTGGGAAGAGGCACCCAATGCCTCCACAAGTGTTCTTGATTCTACGCACTTCGCGGATTAGGGACCCCAGAAAGCATTCACGTCGGAGACCCCGGCTAGGGGTGGATATCCAGAATAATTGTCGCCAATGACCCGGGTTTTCGATGAGAAATAGTGATTGTGATGGCAGTGGCGACCATAACGATAGAGAACAATAATGATAGTGATAAAGAAGGCCAGAAATCGAGAAAATCGTCAGATGTGAAAATAGTTTTAGCGACCAGAGTCTCAAATGACCGACTGAGTGACCTCTTAGGTGTCCGGCTTCGCGTAGGCTTCGCGCAACTTGGCGAGTCGAGTGACCGCTTTCCGAAAAAAATGGCTACAAAAGTTCAAAGGCTTTTCATAGCAGAACTTCAATGGGTTTTGGCACCATGTGACAGGGAGTCGCCATGCTCTTGCGGACTCTTCCTGAGGTTGAACTTCCTCGCTCGATTACTGAGAGCTCTTTCGCACGCTTGGATTCTGGAATTTCCTCCCTGTTCGGCATTCACATACGTACGTCGTCGACGCCATCACGTCTCGGATCGCGTAATAATTCATTCGAGGGGAAACTTCGCTCTGCAGCGGAGCTTGCGGCGCTGCTTCTGATCCGAAACGAGCACTTTCGGCTGGACTGTCCAGTGGGAATTTCTGAACTGTAATTGCAACGTTTGACATTCACTCTGCACCGACGAGGGTAGACGCAGAGGAATTCTGCTTGTGACAGCTTTGGAGAATTCGCAGGTGACAGGTTCATATATAAAGAGACGTTCACGAGTGTGGGCATCGTTTGCTTCGAGCTCCTTCCAAACGTTCATTGTCGTCCGGAGGGTATCTGAATCAGTCGAAAGACCCTTTCTGTCATCGTATGCAGCTACTGTCCGAAGTTCTTCCCCCTCTGGCTGTGACTCGAATTCTCGGGAATTCCGAAGCCCCTAGAAGGGAATGATGCATCGTCTTATAGCGTCCGATGCAGACGTTGATTCGTTTTCTTCCATCAGAACAGACCGAAGATGTTCACGTTCCTGGAGTATTGACACACCGGAATACCATTTGAGAGGTGTTACGAAGTGCGTCGGAATTTTATGGGACTTGAGCCAAACAGGTGTCGTAGACTCTCGAGTTCCGAAACTGCGTGGTTTTAGTTGCATGTTGAAGTTTCCCGCGAAGTTAGATCACACTTCTCACCGGGAGAAGACATCCTCTGTTCCCGTTCCCCGCGACTTGCTCGACTCTGAGCAATCCTCCGCCGCGAGCTCGGGTGGAGGAATCGTTTTATCCGACTCATAGTCAAGTTCTTTGTGCTCCCCTAAGTAGACCTCCGCCATGCGAATCGGAAAGTTATCAGCGCCGCCGGCAGAGGAGAAGCCTCCTTGTTCAGAGGAATTCCATTTTCTGTGTTGTCTCATAGAATTCCTCCCTGATAGAGCTGAGGAATTCCTCGCCAGAGAAAGATCTGGTGCAGCTGCTGTTGTTATGTTAGCTGGCCGGCGGGCAAACTTTCTCTCGATCCAGTAATGATCTGGCTGGAATAGGATTCGGTTGGTTTCCGTTGCTGGTCTGCTGCTTGCCCGCCGCTTGCCTGTTGTGGGTCGCTGTTGGCAAAGCCCGCGTGCGAATTCAGCTTCCCTCGCGTAGCATTCTCGGGACACAAAAAAATATATAACGCCGACCCAGGACTTCGCGCTGAATCGCGGAGTTCACTCAAGCTAGGACAGAGAGCCTGTTGTCATCTCGTTCGGAACTTAGTTCATAGGTCCCGATAATCGACAAGTTGAGCTCGTGGGATAAGGATTGTTCAAAGCGGATCTGGTCTCCGGAATGAGCACCGTCGACTCCACGGTAGAAAAAATGGACGAATGGAAGTTCTCGCGGTCCCGGAGGCTTTCGTATCGGTCTCTGCTTCGACGCATTCGTAAATCCCCCTGCCATGTTGCAGGGCTTAATTGTTTGACAAAAGAAAGTCATCGGTAAGCCTTCAAGCCTCACTGCGCCCCAGTCAGCCTAAGACAAAGATGTCTGCGAGCCTTGTGGAGCAAGCCTCCGTCGCGTCGTGGATATCGACTTCAATGAGAAGTATCGACGTAGAAGTGAGAGCGAGAGAACGGAAGCCACCACGTAGAGTTCCGATCGGATCGGATGTTCTTCCATTCAGAAGCCTCGGACTCTCAGATTCACGCCTGCTTGTAGTCAGAGTTGTGAGTGTCGGTAAAAAAAAACAGGCGACTTGATCTCGACGTGGAACTCCTTTGAAATGAAGTTACAGCGATAACGGGAGTCAAAAACGCCGCTGCCGAACGTTTCTGCAACAGCATTAGAAATACAACGCAACTCCTTGACCCATCGGGCCGTTGGCCGGATGCTTGCTCAAAGAATCCGACAGCTCGCAATCGATGGACTTTCCCTTTCTGAAATTGAATCAATTTCAATTTCACGTTTTTTTTACAAGAGAAAAATCCTATGCCTCCACTCCGGGTACCGTCTAGTTCAAAACGATTGGTTTTGGCGTTTTTAGCGATTCGAAGTACAATATCTGCTTGTTCGGACGGCCGTTGTTCCATTTCTGGCTCAAGTTTGAGCGGAGCTTCGTTTCTTGAAGCGTGCCGACGAGGAGCGAGACCTTGTGTAGTTTAGAGACAAATTCGAAGAGACTACCAAAAAACTTCCAACGAGTCGAATACAACGCACTTTCTGTCTTCCGAACGACAGTCGTTTTCGCTGTGGACTAGGAGCATGGAACGCCTCGAACGTAGTCCGGTCGAGGAAGATTGTCGCGTGCTGATCGACTTGCTCGAGAGGGGGCCTCGGATCTCTCGGAACTTAGCCGGCAGCCAAGTACCGGGAGTCCTCAGAGTTGCAGCTCTCAGCAGAGAATCCACGCCTACGATCTGCGCATTACTCTTGGCGGGTTTCCTCAGGGAGGGGAAAATGTTCCAAAGTTTCAAATGAAGCGTCATTTGGAAATGCATCCTGTGAATTTGTTGCCGCTTACGACTGTAGGCTTCAGGAACTCGAGGCTCCGATCGACGATTCTGCTGTTGTACTTGACCTTGATCCGATCTGTAGACGCAGAACCCCTTATCGGAATGATTAAATATCAACTTTGGATGAACCGAAGACGCGTCGCTTGGAGACTGGTTGAAACTCAAACTCCCTCGTCTCCAACTCCAAACTCCAATACCGGAGGGGGTAGAGGAAATCTCGTCCTATTCAGTTCCACTCGAGGAGCTTGTCGGACAGACATTCCGTCAGTTCGACAAGTCGTCGGAATGGACAAAACACAGTTGCTTATACCGACGGCCTTGCCACGTGGAGAAATTATCAATTTATTCCGAAAAGGGAAACGGTCACAGCTCACGAGTTGAGGAAAACTATCGTCTGCGGTCGACGAGGTTGTGGGTGAAGCAATCTTTAGTAAAAGTCGGTGTGGCTTATTCTTTCTGAGTTGGTATTGTCCGAGCTTTTGTTCGCCGTTGTGACCACAGTTGAAAGAGTGTCGAGCAAACAATCATCACGTGTCACGTCGGAAGCTGTCAACCGGCTGCCTTCTTAGGCTAGCGACGTAATCAAAAACACTTATTTGATTCTCCTCATTAGCGACGTCGGCGCCGTTGCCTATTCTGATCGGAAAGTGACGATGTTCCTCGGCGAGCGATGAACTAGCTGTGAACGTGTGATTGGATTCGTCTCTGCAATTTCGGAGGAAATCGTGGAGTTGGAGGCGGAATATATCACCGGTGACTTCGGGACACAATCTTCGCCAAGGCGATGTCTCGAAGCGATTTTCCTTGCCTGATCCTGCCCCTCGATGCCGACAGCTGGGAACTCTATCACCGTGATCTAGAATCAATTTATCAACGTATCGAACTTCGAGCTCGGATCATTGCATTCATCGAAGCGGGAAGACGCAGTTTGATGTCCGCAAATAAGTGTCTGCAGGGACACTTCGATTCTGAATAAACGTGCTGAATTTCCCCCTTCTCCATTCCAGCGGATGATTCTCATAGCTCTCCACTACGGTCTGCCCGGTTCAGGGGGGCTCGTAAGGGTCCGCCGGGAGCCGTGGGGTCCGACGCAGAGTCTGGAGCGTCTACGGACAATCTTCATCAGATGGGAGTATTCTCCAAGAGTCAGACGAGCCTCTCGACGTTGGGGAATCTTAGCATCAGCCATCCGGTAAGTAATGCCCAGCTGTAACATGCTTTCACTTTCCACTAGGAATCTGCTCTGCTCGAGTGATTTCCTATGAATTTCGCAGCGTCTTGAACGCTGCCCCAGCCTTTTCGTGTTGATCAGCACAATCGGACCCTCTTGATGGGTCGTTATGACCAGATAGTCGGTTTGGGGGATCTAATATCAATCGAACTGACTGATAGAAGGTATGATCAATCACCCTGCATGCGGAACTCGTCACTTCGATGGAGAATACTCGATCCGCCAAGTGCTCGGATCTATTGTTGAAATATTTATATCAGGTAGTTAGATATATTGATTCTGGGATCGTTTGCGTCGCTCTTTTCGAAAGATATCGCCATAAATGATCTGTCATTTCTGAAGTTGAAGTTCATGGTGAGTATATTTCTTGGAGACTCGCGAGGGTCACGGTCGAGCTCTCGTTTTGCCGCTTCTCTTCCAATGTGTAGTGTATTACATTAGAGGATCAGGTCTATTTCAGCCGATTCTGGTGCGGGCTCCTTCTTTCTTTCACGACGTGGGGCAAACCTGCTGATATTTTCATTCTTGAACTTTCCATTCGTAGGGTGGACGATCAGAGAGCATGACTTCGGTGTACTCTGCCGCCGGCGGAGGGCGCTACGGAACTGTTGATATAACCGGCGAGGTCAACTTCGGTCTATCTTACGACCTCAAACAGGGAATGCTCAATGTGCAGGTCAAAGAATGCAAGAATCTTGCTGCCGTTGACGAGAAAAGAAATCGCTCAGATCCTTACGTTAAGGTAACGCTCCAGCTGTCCCACTTTCCGTTGAAGTTGCAGAAGTCACAAAAGTTTGGCGGCATATTTTTCTCGCCAGAATGATGTGTGTTCTCCCCGTGGAAATATTTGTCTCACCTCGATGCTGAACACTGCGAAACTCATATTCTCCACAGGTTTATTTATTGCCCGACCGGAGTAAAGCGGGGAAACGCAAAACGAAGGTCCGAAAGCACACCTTGAACCCGGTTTTCAACGAGGTTAGTTCGCGCATTAGCATATCGACACGCTCCATTTGAGCCCAGATTAGCCCCCAATTAGAGCGCTGCTTCAATGCAAGAATATGTTCACGCGTGTTTTCAACGCCCAACCTACGCCCTTTCAGACTTTGCGATTTTCTGTCGAGAGATCGGAACTCACCTCACGCACCCTGTGGCTTTCCGTTTGGCACAGTGACATGTTCGGTCGCAACGATTTCCTTGGAGAAGTCATGAAGGACTTATCCAGCGACATGTTGGAAACGAATACGACGCACTGGTATCCTCTACAGGAAAGGGTTAGTTACGACATGAATATTCTCGGTTTGCCGGTCCCCGCAGTGGAACTTTGCGGAATCTCCGTCAGAGGATCGAGGACTCGACGAGTTCGGTAGCTAAATACAACGACTCCAAGAATCAATTCTCGTGACCCGCAACAAAGGAGCAACAGTTCCGAAAGCTGACTCCATAGGCTGATCGGGGCGGATCCCGGTCAGGAATCCACGTATTCTGTGCTAGCAGCTCCGGCTCGTCTACATTCCTTTCCTCGATATCGATTTTCTTAAGCTTCTCTCCCTGTTCTCCGTCTCCTCCCTCTGATGCCGTTTAGGAATCGCTAGGCTCGCTCGCGGAAGGAGGGGCTCCGGTGAAACCGATACCATACATTTTATTGCCGAATTATCTCGCAGAAACGAGCCGAGCTGTCCACATTAACAAATAGTGGCGCTCGCCGCCGCGGTGTCCGCGACGGGAAAACGGAAGAATTCGCGAAACGAAAGAAGGCAACAGCGATCGGAACGTGCATTGTCCGCCGTCTATCCAAATCGCCCATCAACATAGTTTCGCTCAGAAAACACTCACGAACAAATTTTTCTTCGCGCCATTTCAGATGGACCCTCTAGACGGAAGCTCGAACCTTACATACAAAGGAGACCTTATGCTTTCACTAAAATTTGCGCCACACGACCACCGGCCTGGGAAGGGCTCCCTTCACGTAATTGTCAAGGAAGCCTCGAATCTTCAGGCGACGAGATCGAACGGAACCTCGGATCCATTTTGCAAATGGTGAGCGAAGGAATTCACAGTAATGATCTACGTACAATGGCTGCGTCGTGACGTCTGAGGGATTACCGTCGGTTCTGGGGACAAGCATATACCTTGAGACCAGTGGCCATCTTCGAGATAGGCCATGTATTTAGCGAAAATCGGGGCTTTTCTCCCAGGGAACGCATCTGAGTCTAATTTTCCCTGCAGCTATCTGCTTCCGGACCGACACAAGAGCGGCAAGCAGAAGACCGCGGTTGTTCGACGTTCGGTGTCTCCCGTCTGGAACCATCCATTCTTGTACCACGACGTATCGGTGGAGGAGCTTCAAGAACGTTGTTTGGAGCTCACCGTTTGGGACTACGATAAAATCACTTCGAACGATTTTCTTGGTGGTGTCCGACTCAGTCTAGGAACGGGTAAGTGACCAGCTCTTTTGCCACCTCAGCGGGCGCGCTTCTCCTCCCTCTACTGCTTTTTTTCTCATGATGATGCTCAGAAGCGAGCGTCTTCGGGAGCGGGAAAATTTCCCGCGCATATAGCGTCGGCGTTTCCACGCAGTAGGATACGGGATTCTCTTCGGTCTAACGCAGCGTGCTTTTCTCCACCCTCAGGCCGCTATCAGGGAATCACTGTCGACTGGATGGATTCGCAGGGTGAAGAGATCTGGCTCTGGCGGCAGATGTTAGAGAAACCAAATCAGTGGATCGATGGCTGTCTACATCTTCGCTCGTCGATGAACTAATTATCGTTGCCTGATCAAGTCCATAGTATACAACAGCGGACGGAGTGCTCCTGGTGATCATGCTCATTGTTTCCGAAAGCAATCGACTTCGAATGATCTCGAGCCAAAGAGGAACAGCTCTACGCTCCGCTCCGATTCCGATTGAAGAGCCAAAATGAACTCCGAACGAGGCACGGACGGGTCACTCCTGCAGCTACCTACAAGCTCGTAGCGTCTGAGACGTGGTCACATTCAGTGCAACAACAGCGAGAGTAGAAAGAAGCGTTTCTTCGTCGGAAGTGCCAAAAGTGTACAGCTCTATTGACCCGATGTTGCGGGGTTTACTACCGACATCGTTGCGTGAAATCGACGTGGAAAAGCGTTCCCGGTGATCACGATGATACTTTGGTTGATCGATTAATTTATATTTTTCTGTACAATTTATATTTTGTACCCGACCGACCGACCGATTGACTGGATGTCATTCGTCTCGTTCAATTGACTGATGGTAAAGAGGATCGCTGCTGAAGATCGACTCGACCGGGGGTCGGCTCCAAATTTCAAACAGCCGTTCCGGCGCTTTCGAATAAAAAGTGACCACCGGAGGCAGAGACTAAGGGAATGATCTTTCGCCGGGTTGTGAGTGAGAAATCTTTGTGGAGCATTATTCGACAGCGCCTCGCCCTGCCCGACACCAGCCGCGATTCGCCGATCTGACTGTACCGGCTCCATGCAGCTTCTAGTATATTGACTCGTATCTTCTCGTGTTTTCGAATTTCGTTAGATTGTAGCAGAAACGCCGTGACCAGCATTTTCGAGCAAAGACGAACTCAGTCTGTTTCCTCGAATTCGTCACGCTTCCGTTTGGTCAGCGGTGAAGGCTTCAGAAATTTCAAATCTCGTTTCTAGCGGCGCTTTCGCCTGCCGCGAGCTGATATCTTCTTCAATCTCTCTGGTAATCAATCGCTTCTGTAGGATGGGAGAATCCCGACAACTCGTGAGCCCAAGAGGAGACACGGTCAGACGAATTATTCATCAATATCGAGAGTCAATGGTTTCGATACTATCATCAACAGTTACAAGAGCAACCACAACAAACAAACCATGCAACGTGTTTTTGTTAAGAGTCCCACATGTAAAAACTCGGAGCGAAATATCGAATAAATAAAACTATAAGATCGATCAGAGTTTCACTTCTTCCGTCGCGATCGACCTTCTGCCATCCCGAGTCCGACTGATTCCGGGTGCAGCAATGGCCAGTGAAGCCTCATCAGAACTTGCTCCCGATCATAATGATTCGATTCCGTATACCGATACATGCGGCAGATTTCCGCGTACAGAACTCGGAGGTGGAGAAACTTCCCGTACTGAGAAAATCGCGCATGATGAGCCCCGTTTGACGATTCTCGAGCTGCCGAAATACTGTGAAAATAGCTCCTCGAGTTACAAGTTACAAACCTGTCGACGCGCAAGAGCGACGGACGAGCTCGCCATCCGGGGAGAATGCTATGAGCAAAGTTCTCGATGCGTTTCCTCGAACGTGTAGTTCGCTGTTCTAGGCCTTCCTGCTCAAAAATCTCGGATACCAAGGATCAAGGGATCGACCTCCTCGCCTCTAAGCAGAACCTCAGCATACCGCAGTCTTTTGCAAGGCAGTCTCAAAACGAGTATTGCGTCTCTGTCAGAGCACGGGATGCTCGCGTACTGAGGCCAGCGACTCCAATGCGAAAGCGATCTCCTTAGAAGTCCTGGTTCCCACATTGATGAGGAGTAAGACTTTGGTGCTACTACTGTATGCATCCGGAAATCATGAACGGGGGATATTGCGAAGCACGAGGCTAGAGCCCATGGGAAACACTCCCATCGTCGGACAGGTGTCATGCATTCGGCATCTTGTCGGGCCTCTTGATAATGTTCCATTCGTTTCGAACTCGCGGTCTTTCCTGTCTTAATTTGAAATCCTGTATAGGAGCGCTGGACATATGTACTTCAAAGGGAAGAAACAGCTTTCCATGGCATCGTGCTTCCAGCCCCAGAGAGAGAGAGAGAGATGGCTCGTTGATGTTACGTGCTGAAGCGATAGATGACTGCAGTCTCTCGATCGCGTCTTCGCCACTACGGTCCATAATCGACGGGTTCTTACACAGTTTAGGGTGTCTAGAGAGCCGTTTCTGTGACGAATTCAACTGTCATAGCAACTATTCCATCACCGCGTTTCTAGACGAAATGGTCCCCGTGCATTTCGTCAGCAAAGCAGGGACACCTCGTGAGTCCATTCGAAGATTTGATCCGCGAACACTCAACGCCGGCGTAGTCCTCCGGGCGATTGCTTATATGACGTCATTCATTCCTGTAGAGCGGCATCCAACCTGACCATTGATGCCGCCGCTATCCAACTCCAAGTCAATTGGCGGAGCAGACCTGTCTCATATCATAGAAGGTTGGGCTCGTGTGTCTTCTGTCCATGTTTCTTGTCACCACTCAATCCCCAGGGGTGTGATTAATCACAGCGAGTTCGGTTACGAGGCGCGGATACGTTCCGCCTGAAGGGAATGAGATTTCCGGGTTCGGTGAAACTTTGAACAGAATGAATGGACTGAGGTCCAGCAAAATAAGAAGCACTGCGCGGACGGACCGGAGCGTGCCGCGGGTGTGTCGGAATTCAGCTCCAGCTCCCAATTAAAGACGAATGTTCACCAGAATCTCCCTACAGTGCAGTCGATCTGGCCTACTGAATTTCTGAATCAGGGGAGGTAGAGAGAGGCCTCTCGAATATCACGAATTTCCACACCAGAGTATCTGTACTCCGGTGGAACTTTCGTACTTTGCTTCGGCGGATCGATTGAGCCTGTGATCGTCAATGGAGTCTCGTTGTTGATCGATCTTGTGCGTACCTTCGATCCGAAACTCTTCAAATCCAACACTATCCGCTCTCTCCCTTCAGGTAAAGAGCCATCGGTTTTTTTAGTGGGTACTATGTACATGAGCCCCACACTCCAGTTGAATTTTCCACTCTTCTGGGTAGTGCGTCAATGCATTTTTCCTATGGCTCTTTTACCTTTTCCTCCATTCTTCCCCTCAGTCCCCTTCCCCCTTTTCGCACTCGCAGTTCCTTTTGAGAATTATAGGGTCACCTCTTTGCGAGCTGCTCCACCAAAAAAAAAAAACTTCGAGACCGAGTCATAAGAGTGCGTGAGATCTTGCTTCATTGCAGAAATCCGGACGACGACAAGCCTAATCAACGCGATGAACCTCCCGAAGGCGATTCGGGCCTCAAGAGTGGAAGACTCTCCAGGGGTATTCGGATTCTGAATCATGTTCAGACTTTGGAGCTAAGGCATTCGCCCGACTCGCAGGTGGCCACGACGTCCGTGAGAGTTCAATACACTTTCATCATGATAGAACCCCTAGAAGGGACCTCCCACGATTTGTACACTGGCTTATTGAGCGGACAAAACGCTTGGCGGAACTGTGGAGCTCCGATACGGAGTGAAGATGGGAAAGTCTCTGAGCGCAAGATACGAGACAACATATTCCTATCATATCCATCCGACAATCGACTACACTGCGAGAACTACCGCACAATTCCACGTTGAAAGCGCGAATCCGATCGAGATGAACTCCACTGAGGACGATATCCGTCTTCCAGCGGCCTTGGGAGAGTTTGCTCTGGGGCGAGAGTTCTAGCGAGAAGATCCTCGAAGTTTCCTCTCCTGGGACATGGTTCCCTGGCGGCTCAGCATACCGGTCTCAAATTCGCCAATATCGTTTTACCGAACGACCGCAAAAGGTGCTGCCGGGAGCGAATATCTCCGAAGGGTAATGGATTTGTTTTTTCTGCAGTACTCCTTAATAAGATCTATTGTGATTTGATAAGACGTGTGTGCCTTAAATGGAGCGGTGATCGAGACGTTTCCTTGCAGGCCCGTGTCCATACGCGATTTGGACGCGCGGCGCGTGCACGGAATAAATCTCAGAAACGTTTCCACTCATTCGACACAGAAATCCGGACGGTAAAACGTTCTCACGGGTCCTGTGTACTTCCAAAATCAATTTTGAAACAATTCAGATGACCACTTGCAAGGAAAATTCTGGCGTCGATCTGAAAAAGGTATACCAGTCGTACGATGATGAACATGTACGTGGTAGAAAATATGAGTATTATTGAGTTCCCGTCTGAACAGCTGATCCCGATTTCCTCGAGGCAGGATCTCCGCATGCCTGCGAAAATAGGGTCCCAGAGAACCCTCATCGACAGGAATCTTCAAGTGTCTGGGCTTGTCAACGGTGTCAATGCAGATATGCGAGTGGAGTCGACACACTGATTATTGCACCTCCCCAGCTGTCTTCTGCCGTTTTGGGCTCATCTGTTCTGCTTTGCGAACGCGAAAAGTCTCCATAGGGATCCCCCGAAGCTCGTTCGTCATCCAGACCATTAGAATTCTACAGAATATACTGACTTCTATTTTGAACGATTACAGCTGAGGTCGGATTCTTCTCATCGGAGCCACAGATCCTTCAGAGCCCTTCAAACTTCCACAGCCTTCGTGAAGATCGGGGTGCGCGACTGCCGAGAGCAAACAGCATCGCCGAAAGAGATTTCATTGAAGCTCTGAGAGATACATCCTCGAACTAAGTTCTCCGTGATTGGCCACTCGTAGCTCCCATTCCGTGGAGGTCGAATTCTTGCTGTCCCTTGATGGAAACCTCACATGGGATTGATCGGAAGATATCCGCTGGAACAACGATATCTTCATGAATGTGCGCCGGAAAATTTTCTGACGGTCGAGAGCCGGATTGAAATCCTCACAACGAGAGCTCCGTTCGCTTCGAGACCGGTAAAGACGAGATCATCCCTTCATGGGGCTCGAAGGGTGTGTTCGCGGTCATGACAGCCAGTCTTGGATCTGAGGATCTTCTCATAGACGTCCGTTCTTGCTCGTCCACGAATGTTCGGGGAACTTCTTCCCTCTCTCTGTTCTTCCAGCAAGAATTTCAATTCTACGGAATCTGATCCTATATGAGAACTCCGATACGCGCCTTCCGCCCCAAAAAAAAATTAATCGTCAAACGTGGCCTCCTCCTAGATCACGTGAACGATTATAACGTGCCACGATTCCTGAAATTCACCATCCGGACGGGAAATTCGATAGAACTATCCGAATTCCGAAACCGTTACTCTGAGTCCGACCTTCGAATACGACGAGGGGCTTGCGAATATGATTCATACTCAACAGTCGGTCAACCGGATCACACCTTCATGACGGGTAATCCAAGGTGATGAGATGAGAATTTCTCTCCGCCTTTCATAGGGTAAACGGCATCGATCGGAAAGGTTCAGTGTATAAGATCGAGGATCGACTGCATATCCAGGGATGGGATCCTTCTTTGGTCCCGTCATGATTGACGGAGGCATCGCGGATTCCCACAGCGCGTTCTCAGCGAACCTGCGGTTGGTGGCATGCCTGGACGCGCCTGAATTTCCAGCAAACTTTGTGAGCCTCGGAAAGCTCCCTCCCGTATCGGGAGCGGAGGATCCTCATCCGACAAACTTTGAAATTTCAAATTCACAACCACCAGAATCATGATTCTTCTTGCAGCAATTCTCGGGAGCCGTGATAAGGCGAGCCGTAAAAGCGAAGGAGCTGTACGGTCTGTCGCAGAGTAGAGCGGATCACGAAGCGTTGCTGAAGGGGGCTGTTCAAAGAGCTCGTGAAGTGGAATCAAAAATGATAGTTCTTCGAGACTCCAAACATCAGACCGACGAAATCGACGAAATCATTCGTCACATCGGACCCGTTTTGTAGAAATTCAGAAAATATCCACTGAAAGTTCGACAGTCGTTGCTATCGCTACGGGCACCGATGCGAAATCTTGGCGATCGATTGTCTAGACGTTCGGGACTGCGCTTCTCCACCAATTACAAAATTCACTGTTCCAGCCCCTTCTGAGGCGACGTCGATGATTTCCGCTTCATGGCTCCGGGCGAAATCGCTGACGCTCCACGCGGCTGAAGAGACTAACTGCTCGCGACGAACTCGCGGTGAGCACTTCTAGGCATTGACTTACACCACGGGTGCTGGGGGGATCGCACGAGGACCTTCCCGACAGGCTGTGAACGAGAGGCCGGCTTCACCCGCATCATCTGATCCTCTGACTCCTCTGCACTATGTTTTATTGCGAGCTGCACCCTCTTTGACCGTCTCAAATGATGAAGTGACTGATGAGTTGACTGACGTGGAGGAGAATTCGATGTATCTGAAGAGCCTGGAATCAGGCGAGATTTTCGAGCTGTCCCACCCCTCCCATGGCGAGCTATCGATAGTCACCAACTCATCTCCCGCTTTATCGACGTGCGCCTTGAGGCCGGCAGGAACTACAGAAGTTTTCCAGAACGCTCCATGAAGTCATCCTCGTTGCCGGCTCGCATATTCGGACCCGGAATCGGCTTTCCTCAAAGTTGCAAAGTCTTGCCAGTTTCGAGGAAGGAACTGCTTGATATTCGTCTACGGCTTCAACGGATTCGAGGGCATGCCGGTGGAAGATTCTAAGAATGGAAATACGAAACGGCCAGTGCCTGCGTCGATTGCAACATACCTTGATTCGCGACGTGCTAGAAACGAAGACTCGGACGGCAAGAGACGTGTCGTCTGCACCGAAGCCGGGAAAGTAGTGCGATCACCTATCTCGAGAGTCGGCCCATCCCAGTGTGCAGACTTCTCTGCCCAGGTCCCCTCCACCTCAGTCAAGACTTTGTCGCCATTGCCAGTTCTCACGAGGGAACTCTCAGCGTGTGGCAATGGGGCGGCTATCCAAAATTCATTCCAGTCCTGACCTCGGTAGCCTAGAGACCGCCCGAGAGGCTCTTCGATTGCATGAACTCAAGTTGTCGGCAGGGACCGAAATTAGAGGACAGCCATATTTTCCCTTCGTTTTTAGCTTTAAGTCGCCGTATCCACGCTCTCTTGGCCGATGGAGAAGGCAATTTGATGCTTGCGGCGTCTGACTACACAGGGGGGTTGCGAATTCTGCGCGCCTTCTGGTCAGGGTTCCTTTCGACAATGGCTCTGCATTAGAGAGCTCGCTCTCGGAATCGCCGCCAACAACATGCCGCATGGGGGAGTCACATCGTCGATCCGACTTGATTGAGGCAGAGGGGGTCTGATCACAGGGGCTGATCCCAAAGGAGGATCCTCCTAAGGATCCCGACCGCCTGTCTTCCCTACATTGATGCAGGTGTCAGGTACCCATCCGCCCCTCCTCCGCTGCACTGACCCCTCGAAGTATCCTGGATGCGCCTCTGCTCCAATCGGTTCTGTACAGAAGTGGAACGCCGAACCCGAGAACGCAAACCTTGCCTCAGACTGAGAACGAGTATATGCGGCGGATTCGGCGATTGGCCAAAGAATTGTCACCAGATGATGCGAACTTCGCACCTAAGGGGATTCGTGATAATAACACCCATCCCTTCTGGGTATACAATCTGATCAGACGGTTTTCGACACTCCGAGCTCCCGCAGTCAAAGTAAGTCCCCAGAGCTGAAGTCTGCTCTCAGAACAGGATTTCGCCGAACTCCTGACGCTTCCTGACGGGACCGTGAAAACTCGATGAAAACTGGAACGCATTTGGAAGCGAATCTTTCCGATCATGCCGAAGCAGCGACCCATTCGTCACCTTGTAGCAACAGTGACGAGGTTCCAGAGTGATTTTGAGATATGATTTTTTTTAGCCTAAGCGGACAAGATATTCTACTTCAAATGAATTATGAATAATCGACCCGAATACGCGATCCTTTCTTCATTATCATTATAAAAACCTGCAAAGTGGTAATCCGTAGGTAATCAATGATTTTTGGGGCATGAATGACTTCCCGATCGCTTTCATCATTGTCAAGAGATGAACCGCTCCCGCAGAGCCGATCGAGCAGCTCAGCTCATGGAACTGTACTAATATCAGGAATGCTATTTCGAGAGTGCGACGATACTCGGCGAGAGCCGAATCTCGCTATCTGTCTAGTCTGCGCCCAGAGCGAGTCTCGCGCGACGCTGCCACAGTCGGTCGCGGGCTACGTGCAGACCGAACGTGATTGGCAAGCGTTTTCGTCGTAGACTATTCTAAACTAGCTGTTTCTATCCTCCAGCGAAGCCGGTGCTTTGTTGCCGCTGCGCCGCCGCCGCCGCCGACGACGACGTCGGTCGTCATTCAAAGTAGCACGTTCGAAATCGACGGCTCACTGTCAGAGCGGCATAGTCAGTTACTACAGGTGTACGTCATCGGCGGCGTACGTGACGCCGGTCAAGCCAACGGGCGATCTGGCGAACGCGCTAGCTCGTCAGATAGTTCGTCTGGCAGAAGGGTTGCCAAAATGATGACGTTTCACTAAGGACATCCGCGGATCCGGGGACATTGAATCGTTAAAGCTCGTGATTTTCCGTCCCATTATCACTTTCATGAGCAATGCGCGGATTCCCCGGAGGATACGAGTTCGCTTCGCGTGTTCCGAGATCGGGACAGCTTCGACAGCACGTGCCTTGAAGTTGCTCAAAATTATCCTATATTTGGGGGGCCAGAACTAATAACAAAAGATCATCCGAGCTCCGAAGCGGCTCTAGACTACAACCTCGAGTCAGCGAGTCTGTCAATGACCCGGGACTGGGACTCGGGCCCGGATTTCCGCCTATGTCTCATCGAGTCGCGAGAGCGTGAAATCGCCCGCGGACCGTGATGGACTTTCTGGTTCTTTCAAAGGTTTACGAAGCATCCTGGGGTTGTACCACAAATGCTGGAGACGAGGCACAATGAGCCCAGAAGGCGGCTTCGAGCGTCTGGCTGCACTGACCGAGGAGAATGACTTCCAGGAGAATATTCGAACCCCTCTCTGACCCGAATATCACATGCCCATTGTGTGAGGAAGCACTGGTTGATGGAGAAGCGCTGTGCGATATATTCGGCACTCGCGGTGGGATCCGTCCAGCGGCCTCAGCCAATGGAATGCTGTTCGCCGGCGATACTGAAATTGCCGTGAGTCTCGAAGAATTTCGGGAGAATTTCCCGCGTCTCGCTTTGGTATTCCGGATACAACTTCGGCGCCGTGAGCCGCTCGAGTCGTGCAAGTTCCAGTCATGTTCACCCGTCTGAGGTCGAGGGACATGTTGTCGCCTCACTCGGCTGACACGGGAGCGCTTGTTGTCGGGACTCTTACAACGGGGGTCGAGGTCCACCATTCTTGAAATACAGAACAAATCGGATAAACATTCTCAACATTCCCCCAGTGAAGATAGAAACGCTTGATATTTTTCGGAAGAAATTCAATACCTCAAGATCCACAATCGTCACAGAGCGACTGAAAGGATCTCGCCGGTCACCGGCGACCTTTCTGTAGGTTTCCAAGACACGTAGAAACCTTGAATTCAATCGAATTCGGATTCCGTTCGTAAAAGTGAACGACAGCGATGACCTCGCGACAGACATTTCTGGAATGGCAGCCTTGAGCCAATCAGGTAATTGACCGGTTGATTGAGGCGGAGGAGCGCGTGTTCAGGAGCACGGAAATACTATACATGGATGAGCTCTTAATAGGTAGATCTGTCCGGTTCAGGAACGAAGCCAAGAGACCGCGCGCAGGGTATCGTCGTGCTCTAGGACTGCTCGTCCGGCTATCTCTCACGCTTGCCACCGCGGAAAGGGAAAACGTCGAGAGAGAGACGTCAAAGGGGAGGGCGCGAGCACATGGGTAACCGGCGGGTGAAGATCAGAAGAAGAATCCGGTACGCCGGTCGAAGGTGATTGTTCGAGTCTCGATCTACTCATGATTATCGCTCGGTTGTTCATTTATCAAATGTGCGTCAAGGCACGGACGGTGAATCGCGACGATAGACAGTGTTACTCGAGCGTCGCATTTTGATAGTTCCAAGTGAGCCCTCAGTCAGAGAAACTGGAAGTGAACGGGGCTGCACGTCGCGAGACCTAGGTGAAGAGGCAAAACCCCCGGGTTCGGATCACGTTGGCCAACGGGAAATGCAACAAGACGGCCTCCCGCAGACTTGTGGTCATTTTTGCAGCCGGGCTGGTCCTGGCTCTCTTCGGAGGGGGGCCTGCGCTGCCCCTGTAAAACCCAACCACCACCACCGCCACTCTGAGGTTCCATCTTCAAACGAACTAGAAAACGAAAATAGACAACTCCGGGATTTCCAAGCGGAACAAGTCGTTTTGGACGGGTCTCAGGACGACAGTTCGGAAGAAGACGACTCACTGTCCCCGGAAGAGCTCGAGAACGTGGAAGATTACCCCGCCGATGAAGCGAGCACTGAGTCCTTACGACCGATTCACGAGCGGCGAGATCACCGCAAGGAACATCAGCGGGAAAGCCAGTCACAGCACGGGAAAGCGAAAATCGCATCAAAAGAGAATCCGAGGAAGAAGAAAATGATCCTACCCACCCCGCATCCGATCCGTGTCCGACACCAGCACCAGCATGCCCCGTCGTCTGGCCATACTTCAAAATTGGGTCGATTCCTACAACTTTACTCGAAGAATGGATACAATCTCAAAATAACAGCCAATGGAACCGTCGAGGGAACAAGTGAGGTCCGCAGTGATCTCGGTGAGTGTACGTAGTTTTTGTAGTTTTGATAAAGTGCGAGCCTCGTTACGACGAAATCCTAGACGATGAAAAACTCGGTACATGAGGATTCTCTAGCTGACCCCTCGACCATAGTCACACAGTAACAAATCCGAATGACTCTCCTTCAGAGAAGCATCATTGTGCACAATTCTGATCCCCAAAGGGTTCCGAACTGAATGTCGACCTCGCTGTGCCTAATCACCCGCTAATTTTGCGAGACTGAGCTCGATCGAAGATGTTTCCAAAGGTCTATAGACCCGCCATTTTCCCCTAATTCCGGGAGCGAGAACGAAAAGGGCGTATCGCCACTACCAAGGGGTGTCGCTGACCCTAGATAGTTGTTTGCGTTTCCGCATTCTCTGCCAGAGCAGGACTCAGCTCTCGGCTCCCGATGCCCCATGTACGGGTATGGGTGAATGTCCGTATGCTTTCCGAGAGTCCGCCGAATTCCTACAACAGCTATCACGACGCCCTGTGTCAGCTACAACACCCGGCAGAACATTCGCTCTCCGGATCCCGATCCAATCGGGAAAACTCGCGGACTCCAATGAGGACCGCGAGTTGCGACGGCTTCCGGCGCAGCAAGACGCTTGGACTGGTTCTCGTGAACGGTGACTTCGAGCGAGCTCTCTAGTAGAAAGCGTGGCATCGCGTTCCACGTGCGGCTTCCATGAGCCTTCCCTCAGACGGGGGACGGATATATATGCAGGCGATTCGGCCAGAAATTTGTTGTAATCTATCTCAGACGTGGTATCAAGTCTCTAAACGAGCATAAACTTAAGATTTAGAAGCATAGGGAAACTCGGAGAATTCCGTGGTAGAGCTCTCCGGTCTTCTATTCATTAGTGTCCAGACCTCATCGCCAGCCACTTCACCCGGCCACAAATCGAGTTCCGAGCTTCTGCTGCTCGTTCATCAACTCCCGATGACTCAAAGAGACGGTGAAGAGTTTCTCAAAATCGATATTGTTTTCCGAATATGTATATGACAGTTCTGAAAGCGCCTCTGCATTCCTCCGTATAACTAGTTTAGGCTGTCAGGGCGGAAGCTCTCAAGCATCGCCCATTATAGGCTTCGTGCGATCCCGGAGAGAAATCGTCCCGCCACGTCGCTGGACTCGCTCGACGAACGAATCGGCTCGATGGTTTCTCTTTGAATATTCCTCCGGTGTCGGATCTCCGAAACGCGATTTGATTTGTAGCTGTCAAAATGCAGAAACGAGTGGTTTTCTGGTTCCTTATCGCAGTTCGATGGATTCCTCGACCACGCGATCTCGTTGAATGAGTCCCGCCGAAACACTGCCAAACAGCCCAGTCGGACCTCCGACGCGATTAAGCCACCGGTTACTTCGCATCTAGCCGAACGGATAAGGCCGACATTGATTCCGGAAAATGATGCCGAGCTTTGGCTCATACCGGAATGTCGGGGTATCCAGCCCGGCGCATTCTCACTTCTTTTCGGCTGCAATTATTTATGATACCGGACTCGGTACCGGGACTCGTTGCAGCCATCAAATCGCTCCCGAATCTTCAACCGGTGCTAATGGGCACGTCCAAGACTCACCTTGATTACGCTTCTCAGCAGAGCTTTATTAGCATCAGTCGTCTCGGGGTTTACCGAGTGTATTCCTAATGAAAGACTGAGGTCCTCGCGGCAGCCGATCGTCGAGTCCGAGCGGTGACAATGCCTACTCAGATTGCGCAGCGTTCCTGCGGCACACCTACTATGAATGAAAAATTCTACTAGTAGGAAGCGAAGGTAAAACTCTCTCTGTCAGAACGAAGCGTACCTTGAACTCTGGCGCCTCGTGCGCGACTCACTGTTTGTTTCTCGGGTCTTCACAAAAGAGCAATATCCACGGGGAGAAACTGTGTGTAATGAATAAAAAGACGCGGCAATCTCGAGTGCCCCGCTAGTTTCACCGAGAAGAATCACTCAGACGTACAAAGAGGGCTAATCGAGTTCAGCTTCATGGCATTCGCTTGTTCGCCCCGTCAGTCTTCCGTTTGTTCATCAGCTCACCGATGTAGGATCGAGTGTTGTTTTTTGTAGATCTCGAGTAGACTCAAAGAGACGCATTTGGAATTTTTCAAGAAAACCGACAAGAACAGCTCTACCTGCTGAGAGTTTGGAACTCGCTGCAGAGTTCAAGACCGATCTACGATGCGATGTAAAAGACCGACAAAACTAATTTGAAGAGCTCTTGAAGGCAGACACGGGCGCTTCCAGACACAAATATTTATAAGACCCCTCGAACGCTCTTCTGAGGGAACTCGTCCTCCTAGAGTAGTCTCGAATATTGTTAGCTCACACAACCGTGGATGCAACTTGGCGACTGAATGCGACTGGATGCGACTTGGCGACCGGATCCATATGGTCGATGGATAAGATACACATTGAGGGGAACAGGGTATAAGAGTCTTTTCGGCATCGATACGCGCTCTGACAGGGTCATCGAGCCCAGAAGCATCTCTCGGTTAGAATTGGATCGGAACACGACTTGAATAAGACCGGGAAATCCGAAATCCCCCGTCGTCGACCGAGCAATCGAGGACCATTTGAGAGCCTCGCATCAAAACTGGAAGCCGTTTGATCCGGTCCTCTGGGAAGCGCTGTCAAATTATTTCGATCGATTCGACGACAGGTTCACTTGAATAAGCACGAACAATTCGCATTTTCAAAATCTGCCTCGGATTCTCTCGGCGGATCTCGGCGCAGGAGTCCAGCCATCGTTTCGAGAGGTGGCTCGGATCGTTCAATAGCTCAACGATGTTCTTTCAGCGTGGAGGTGAGCTACGAGCGCAATGTCATGTCGTGCGCGAGCTCGCGGATTCTCCAAGGCTCAGAGATTGAAAGCGTCGCGAAGGTTGAACGCTATGGAAATCGCAAGCGTTCCCTGATCTTAGGCGGCGTTCCTGACTTCTGTGTCAGGGCTGCACTCGCATGAGGTGGAGAAACCCAGAAGCGACGGTGTCGATCGATTGGTCCACCGATTGGGTCCGCAGAATCTGCCCCTCCCGACGCCACTCAAAACCATTGCTACGACTCGGCGTTAGCGGTCAACCCAACTTCGACTAACTATTGGCACTCCGTCAACTTGACTTGGGTCACGGCTCGCCCCGCTGAGCGGCAAGTGATTTTTCAGTAGTTGCTGCCGGAGTGAATGGGCGAAACAACCGAAGAAGAATTACATCCGCCCCTATGAGGAAGGGGTCCAACACCCACGATCGAGAAGCGGCAGCGGCGGAGAAACATTTTGAGTAGAGCTCACACTTGGCCTCGATTTTTCTTTCAAACGAGCGTGAGTGATACTTCCATTTCTTCTATTTCTCCATGCCTGCGGTTTCCACTCACAAAGCCATCCATAATGAATGGATTTTACACACTGTCAAAAATTTCAGACATTTATACTTCATCCATCGTTTTTCCGCCGTCCGCGGCTCGGCTTGACACGTCGGTTGGGCATCACGAAACGAGTCACTCGAAAAGTAGCATCTCACGGCGATTTCAATTTCCGATTGTTTCGTTGCCGTAAAGTTTAAGAAATCATTAATCAGGCTGTTGTCAGCTGATCCCGTGGGTGAAGCAAGTTCTCTTTGATTTTCACTGCGCACTGGAAGGATTTCAATCGTTTCTCTGTGACAATGTTCCGCTCCCCCGACAGTGCTCCGACGTTACGTAGAACGCCTTTCCGAAACAAAACGGGAAAGACGAGGTCTGAAAATGATAATAACAGCGACATATATTGTCATTTACGCTCGCGTTCGAAGGATCAAGCGATGGCCTCCGTTGTTTTAGAATAAGGGATTCTCTGAAACGTGTTCGCAACGCAATTTTTAGATCAAGACTTCAAAACCTTCCGTGGAGCCTTCGGCATCCGCTGCTGAAATTCTGTGGAGTGAGGTATTCTTCGGAAATCAGACACTGCGGTTTCGCGACTTCCCAGCGACCGAGTGCCATCGGGCAGCATCTGTAACGCTCCCGCAATGACCAGAATTATATCAGAAAAACGAACCCTTCGTCTTCGGTGAAGAGGAGCGTCCCGTTACGACGGATAATTCACCTTCTCAAGACGAAGTATACGGACGTCATCGCAGAAACTGAAAGGGCTAATAACGATTAGAAGTTACAACCTCCCTAGATGCCCTGCTTACCCGCATCGGAGCGGCACTCAAAGAGTTACGAGCCGCTCAAGTGCCACCCGAAAAAAGAACGTTCGTCTCGTGAATGTGCACAATTTGATTGAAGAGCAACAAAAAATCGGTACATTCGAATCGCGTTGAGCCGGCTCTTCGGAAAGAGGGAAAGCCTCGCTCGCGAATCGGGGGAATCCCGATCGCTTCTACGCGGTACAGGCTCTAGAAGAGGGAGGAGCAGCTGTACTGTATTCGTGTCTTAAAAGTGCAAGACATTTGATAACGTCAACGATGATCAAGACCATCGGATCTGCTTCGAGACACTATTGGGCTGCCTGATTGCCGAAGTATCCGTCCCGCGTCTCTGATGGGGAAAAATTACGAGCTCACCCGTGGACTTCTCATGAGCATAGTTTTTTTCCTCCGAATCGGAACCGATCGAGATTAAAGGTTTTCGAAGTTCATCCCTCCGATACTCGACAGCGGGAGAGCCTATCAGACAGGGATATATACAGTCATAGTCCATCAATAAGAAGGCTTCCGGGAGCTTCTGACCCGTAAGTTCTGCATCGAATTTTCTGAAGCCAATCAATAAAGATGACCATATCTTGTGAGTCGCCACAATGCGAGCGATCTTATTACGGCACTCAACGAGAACCTCTCGCGGGGACTCCAATCGGAGCGAATACGAACGTCAAAGCCATGGCCGATGAGTGAAAACTTTCACTCCGTTGCAACGTAGGAGACATCATTCTCAAAGAGAATGACTGCGGAGCCGGGCCGATATCGTACAGAGATGCCCGAGCATCGGTTTTTGTTGCTTGCTAGCACATCGGCTCGACCGCAGGT